TTTTTTCAGCATCACTAACCGAGTTACGTGCAGCGTGAAATAAAGCTAACGTACGTTTAGTTAAATCTTCGACAACAAATATTTTTGAGTTCTTTTGTTTTAATAAGTATGTTGAGTGTAAGATTTGTTGGCGAGTAGGACGACTGAAATAACGGACAATGATCGGTCTTAAAAATAAATTTAATCCAAGATGAGTATTTGTAAAATTTGTTATTTTATTGACAATGTTTTCATGTTGTTCCTCATCAAAGCCATGAAATCGTAAACACCATGTTCTGTTATAACGTTCAAGACCATCAATTTTGGATTCAATTTCACTTAACTTATCGCTAATTGTCTCTATCACCGGGTTCAATAGTGCAACAGTACTTTCAGCAGAATCACCTACACTATTATTATTTGATTTAACAATATCAGCAATTGATTGTTGCAAAACAGGATCTGATTTAATCTTGTCAACCATTATTTGCTGAATATCTGTTATTAATGCCGGATTTAACGTCATTCGACCACATTTATTTGCAGGTCGAAGGCTGAGACTTGTTGTGGTGGACCTTTTTCCAGACATGAATAAAGGTATATATAAATATATAGATAATATTAATGAGTAGCTTATACGGCTAATATAAACAGTAATAAAGTTAATAAACTCGGGCTCTCTATCAATACTTAGTGTGTCATTTCTTGCTGTGTTTTTGTCTTTCCTTATTTGGGTCCATTTCCAAATATCTATTTAAATGTGTATTCATACGATCTTTGGGCCGTGAAACGGCCACACTAAAAACCGCAAGTTAACGGCTTGTTTACTGGGTGTTTTTTTGCCGTTTTCATAACGTTAACGCGCCGTTTTTTGTGTGACCGTTTACTGGAGGTTAACTGATCGTTAATGGGCCGTTTTTTTGGACCTGGGGATCTATTTTTTACAAAAGGATTCCTTTTACTTTTTGATACATATGGCTGTAAATATCGCTGATTATCGTTGAAAAATGCAAACTTTCCAATGACTTTCGAAATGTAATTCCCTCCAAATTTTGAGTAAGCGACCTTGACGTATATATGTGAATAAAAAAGTCAGTCTTTTTTTTGAGCATCACGTATTTGCACATGCTTTAGCTCGTTTTATTATACTACTTTTACACTGTTAAGCATGGATAACGTCGCAGTTAAACCTTTATGTATGTCTAAATAGTTGTTATGTTTCCACTAAAGTATATTTCGAAACATTATTCCCATTTGTCTTCTCACTGCAAAAACTTGCATTTTTCAACGATAATCAGCGATATTTACAGCCATATGTATCAAAAAGTAAAAGGAATCCTTTTGTAAAAAATAGATCATTATCGTGTGCAACTCGTGCACTTTAACTAGTATTAAAAAGTGGGAATGGGTCTTGTATTCGTATACATACATCAAAAGAAACCGATAATATATTGAAAGGTTATTAAAATAAATCCGTTGTGCCGCGGCAGAACGGCAGAGGAAACGGGAAGAATTTTGAAATGCTCCCTTAGATGACGCTAGAAAAGTTCTCTCATTTCTGTTTTACCTGTATCACCTTCTATGATCAATAGCATGC